TTGTTTTTTTATTCATTCATTTTGGTGTGATGCAGGAATGGGACCCAGGGCCTCACGAGTGCTAAGCACACACTCTGCCACTGAACTCCACCCCGTCCAATGTCAGCCCTCAGACAGCCCAAATGACCATGGCCACCTTCCTCGATTTGTGTTCACTGGAGCCCAACTGTTGGAGCAGCAGTGTGTGTCTCGTATCTGGTACTAATCAATCCAGATGTCAGCTGGGATGGAAGGAGTAACTCAGAACCTGGGACATGCTGGAATCCATACAGATTCTACCTGGGAAGGGAAATTAGAGCAAAGTGAAGGAGGGCCAGGAGTTTCCAATGAGACATTTATTACAAAGCTGCTTACAGGGCTGGGTATGTAGTTCATTATCCTTGGGGTCCTGGGTTTGTTCCTCAGTTCTGCCAAACAAACCAACTCTGCTCAGAAGGAAAGTTTTGCGGAAGCAACTTACACAATTTTCCATTTAACCGGAGAATGTTTCCTCTCTAAACACAAGAACTTATGTTGATGTATTATCCCGTGTTTTCTTTTACAAGTTTTGTATTTTAGGATTTATACTTCTGTTTATAATCCATGCTGAATTACTTTTGGTATATGATGGGAAGTGTGTATCAAGTTGACTTCTTTTGTATATGGCTGCTCCATACCATGCACAGAGACCTTTTTTTTCATTTAATTGCCCTTGCAACTTCATTGAGACAATTGGCCATATATACACAGGTCTACCACTGTAGTCTGGTGTAATTTGTGTAGTTTTGCCTCATTTTCTCCACACTGCCTTTATTACTACAACTTCGTTATTAGTCTTAGAATCAGGTAGTGTTAAGTCTTTCACATTTTTCCTCTTCATCAGTTATTTTGGCTCTTCTAGATCTTCTGAATTTTTTTTTTCTGGTACCGGGAATTGAACCCAGGACCTTGCACTTGCCAGGCAGGCATGGTGCGGGGCCGCTGAGCCACATCCTTGACCCTAAATTTCAATGTAAGTTTTAGAATCAGTTTATTAAATTCTACAAAAAAACCCATAATAAACATTGCTGAGGGCCAGAGGGATGGTAGATGGTTATTAGAACTTTATCACATCAGTGTCACCAGGGCTGGTATACAACCCAGACTGCTAGTTTGCCTCAAAAACAGAAAAGAAAAAGACTTCTGAGATTCTGATGGAATTCTACAGACAAGTCTGCAGAGAAATGATGTCATAGTACATCCCTGGCCCTATTTTTATTTTTTATTATTTAAAAATTTTTTATTTTTAGGGCTGGGGATTTAGCTCAGTAGTGCTGCCGCCTGCCTCGAAAGCACAAGGTCCTGAGTTCGATCCCCAGTACCAAAAAAAAAATTATTATTTTAATTTTCCATAGCAGTATCTAATTTATTTATTTATTTATTTATTTATTTATGTTTTTTTGGTACTGGGGATTGAACTTAGGTCCTTGCGCTTGAGCAGCAGGCAGCAAAACTACTGAGGTAAATCTCTGGTCCTCTATTTTTTAAAAATTATTTTTATTAGTATCTGTTTGCAATACATGATTACTTTTTGTTGTTGTTGTTTCTTTGAGACAGGATCTAGTTATGTAGTTCAGGCTGGACTTGAACTCATTATGTTGCCTAGACTGGTCTCAACCTTGAAGTGATCCTCTTGCCTCGGACTTCCTGGTAATGGGATTATATTCATTGTGGGAAGTCGGTACATACACATCTTAATTCCTTTTTCATTCCCTTCCCTTCCCTCCCTCCATCTCTTGGTACCCTTCCCTTTTACAAAAGATCTATTTCCCATTATCTTTTATTTTGGGTTTCCCATATAAATCATGAGATTTAAGCTTGTGTATCTGATTTATTTCATTTTAGAGTCTCAATATGCATCCTTTTTCCTAAAGTGACTCAAGTTTACCCTTCTTTACAGCAGAGGAGTACTCCATTGTGTATAAACGGCACATTTTCTTTGTTATTTCATCTCTTGATGGGACATATAGGCTGCTTCCAAGATTTAGTTATTATGAACTGTGCTGCTACAAACACGGGTATGCGTGGAACACTGTAATATGATGTCTTTAACTCTTTTGGGAAGATACCTAGAAGGGGAATAGCTGGGTCGAATGGAATTTGTTTTTAGTTTTTTGAGGAATCTCCACACTGATTTCCATACTGGTTGTAACTAGTTTACATTCCCACCAGCAGTGTAGAAAGAGTTCCCTAGAATTCAGATATCAGAGTTGTAAACCCCTGGACATCTGACCTGTCTTTAAAGAGCTACTGAAAAATGAGGTCATTAGGGTGGGTGCTAATCAAATATGACTATGAGATGAAATGGTGACACAGGCACACCCAGAGGAGAGCTGTGGGACAACGGTACTGATACAGGGGAAAAGATGTAACTCCCAAACCTACTAGGTATCTGAAACGCAAGTTTGTGTTCTCTAAAATCGAAGAATAAATTCTAGGAACAACAGAGGTTAAGAGTAGGAAAAATTTATTGGGAGAAAGAAAGCTTCTGCCTGAGAGACAGAAAGGGGACTGGAAAGTGGGTTGCCTGCCCACCCCATGGTTCAAAGATGTTTTATACAGCAAAGCCATGTGGTGAGGCGGGTACAAAGTGGGACAAAACTGTAAGACCCAATGGAAACTTACAAGGTGGGCATAAGATGGGACAAAACCATGACCAACCAATAAGATTACAAATACAGTCACCCAGGTAATACTGATTAAATGGGGGTCAAATGGGGAATCAAGTCACATAGCAAGTGTACAAGGATTTTCAGTAAGGGTGGGTCAGGGATAGTTCCTGGAGAGGCTGGGTTAATACCTTGGCCCCCCCAGGTGATTGATAACTGTTTAGAATATCAATCACTGCTAATTTCTCTTTTACAATGCTGGCCTTCAGTGAATGTGTCTTCACTCTCCTCCATTTTGGCTTCTTGTGGGCTGGCCCTGTCTAATTAACTTACCTACCTGCAATAGTACCGAGAGATGGGCATTGCCATGTCCAGGAGAGAGATCTTAGGAGAGATCACACTGCCAATATCTTGATGTCAGAGTCTTCAAAACTGGAAAAAAAAGTCCTGATGCTTAAGCAAGGCAGTCTGTAGTATGTTATCATGGCAACTGTAGGACCTGAGATACACAGTGGTCCCTTGGTTCATGAATGCTTTTGGCTGTGATCAATTTGCTTCGCAAACAGAAGCATCTGTAAAATTTTTTGTTTGCAAACTCTGCATTAGTGATGAACATGACTGTAGCCATATTTTCCACACCAACATAAACTGGCCACACAGAATCGTGGAGTGAATTGAGTTTGTGAACTGAGGTACTACTGTTCTTTTACATCAGTCTTAAGAGTTTGAGAAGTTTTTACTATTTTCTCTTCAAGTTTTGGTAGGCTTTTCCCAGTGAATTTATCTGGGCCTGGAGCTTTTTTTCTGACAGAGCTAACTACAAATTCAATTTCTTTAGATACAGGAGATTTAGGTTATCTTTTTTTTAAGTGAGCCTTGGTAGTTCATGACTTCAAGAATTGTATCCATTCATGTAAGTTGCAGAATTATTCTGCCAAAAGATTGTTCATAATATTCCATATAATCCTTTCAATATATGCAGGATCTGCAGTTGTTATCTTTTCATTCCTCATATTGGTCATTTTTGGCTTGTCTTTGCTTTCAGTCAGTCTGGGTAGAGGCTTATCAATTTCATTGATTTATGCTCTGTCATTTTGTGTCTTCTACTTTATTAAGAAGGAAGCTAACATAGCTTCTTTCTGTGCTAACATCCCTTTCTGTTTTAGATATGGCCTACAAATGATGACATGCTTTGCTTTCATTCAGCTCATGACTGATTGATTGGTACTGGGGATTGAATCCAGGGTCTTTACACTGAGCTACATCTCCAGCTCTTCTAAAAATTTTTTTTTTTGGTACTGGCAATTGAACTCGGGTCCTTGCGCTTGCGCAGCAGGTGGGAGAACAACTGAGCTAGATCCCTGGCCTTTCTAAAAATTTTTTGAGACAAGGCCTTGTTAAGTTACTGGGCTTGGCTTGAACTTTTGGTTCTCTTGCCTCTGCTTCCCAAAGTGCTGGGATTATAGGAGTCTGCTATCACGCCTGGCTCAAAATCAAGTCCTTGTTGCCTGGTGAGCAATGACAGACCTAGACCCTGTGGAAAGCAATTCCCTTTGCCAGCTGGCACGATGCTACCTCCCTGTATCAGGAGGCTGCACTGGAGGAGAGCGCTCTTCCAGTTCTGGTGTGTTCCCTTCTGCAGAGCCCCAAAGCTGTGCCTCTCCACCATGGACCTCCTCCGAGAGTTACTGGGGCAGCACTTCTTGAACAGCTTCTCTGGTGCCCCTTGCAGTGGTTTGTCAGCAAATTCTGTGGCAGGTCACCCCATGGATGATAGCTGAGCACTGTGTCTGTCTCAGTACTCTCTGCCACCCAGTGGGCAGTGCTGTGACCGCTCATGAAATCTTGGGCAACCTAGGCTGGGAGTTCTTTCAGGTTGTCCTGCCTCAGCCCTTGGCTTAGTGGCTGTTCCCTGTATATGCTACTCTTACGCCCTCTGGAGTTCTTTTCATTACTTGGTAGCAAATCCTCCATCATTCCATTTTTTTGTTATTATTTGTGATAGTTAATCTTATGAGTCAAACTGACTGGGCCAGGATACCCAGATATTTGGTCAAACATTATTCTGAATACTATGGTGTTTTGGGGGAATGAGATTAACATTTGAATTAGATTTACTGTGAGCAAAGCAGATTACTCTTTAGGATGTGTATGAGTCTTGGTCAATCAGGTGAAAGCCTTAATGTAATTCGAAGTACTGCTTTTTCTGTGTGGTGTAACTAAGATTCAGTTTCTTCCCATCTGGATAACCAGTTGCCCAACACTTTTTAAACTAAATAATGGTTTTGATCTCTGCGTTTTTTTTTGTTTTTTTTTTTTAAGTCGTCTGCCCTGTGAAACACTTGGTAAAAATTCTCCAATAATAAAACAAAAGAAAGTATCAACCCCACAATTTTATTTGTAAAGAACAAAGCATGAAAAGTCATATTTAAATGTACTCCAAAACCTGAAAAACCCACGTTGGTTTGTCTGATATGTTAAAGTGCTTAATATCACAATACTCTTTAAATTCTGTATTATGTTCAGATGAGGAAAAAAAAAATCCAGTTCTGATACACTTTGTTAACAATACAATGGAAAAATATAATTTAAATGCAGAAATGCTAATTTAAAGACACAGGCTACATTTATACATGGTTCAAGTGTAACACAGAGGACTTTTTCTGCTTCACACCCTCATTTGATTGACAACAGAACTCCTTACTGTACTTCTCTACTGTCAACAAGATGTGATGTGTAGAATTAAGATAGGGTCCAACACACAAGCACACTCAGTTAACTGGACCAAGTGTTATTCCCTCCTAATAACCTGAGGATATACTGGATTGCTTCAAGCAGGAGAAACTTTACTTGACGAGTTGTTTTCATGCTGGTATCAATATCTCAATGTTATGGTGTTTTGGTGGTGCTGGGGATTGAACTGGGGCCTTGTGCATGCTAAGTATGTGCTCTACAACTGAGCTACAGCCCCAGCCCTCCTTGGACTCCTTCAATTACAATGCAATAGCAACCTCTTCAAAAACTTGGAATTCAGTTTAACAGATTTATAAGTGTATCTGAATAGGAATAAAGGAACTAGTAGTTTGCTATCCTTCCTGTCTATGTACACTGAATGATAATGGTACATACTTATGTGAGAGCCAGGCAGCCGATGTAGGGATAGGATTCACTTCATGGATGTAGAGAAGAGCTCCAGACTCATTCTCAATCAATGAGGGTGTGTTAATACTGAGATGTAAATACTACAGATCTGATTGTCCCTTCAACATGGTGAAAAGGATAGGCTAGTTTCTGTAAACCTCACAGAAAATACTCACAGTTTTCTAAATGAAAAAATCTACTGAAAAGTCATTTCTTAGTCGAAGAAGGTATTTCATTATGAAGAGCTATATTCTCAATGCTGTCAAATAAATACATCCCAGGCTGGGGATTTAGCTCAGTGGTTCCACTGCCTGTCTTGCAAGCGTGAGGTCCCGAGTTTGATTCCGGTACCAAAAAAAAACATCCCTGGGGATCTGAGGTCCTTGTCTATAGCCTCATGTTTCAAAATATCCTAGGGTGTCAAAATATACCACACATGGGCTATTCTGCATAGTCTCAGCCTCTTTTTCACTTACAGTTACATACAATAGTGCTTTATTGCCAAAAAAGGAAATACGAGCAATTCAGTATTTCCCCTACATCATTCACATAGTGACAGAAATTCATTAAAACAATTTTTAAAAAGCCATGTTAAAAGAAACACCACAGGACTACAAAAGGTATAAAATGTGTGAAATATTTAAAATAAAATTTAGAGGGAAATCCAAGCCTTTGCACATTTTGATTTCTTGTATCAAACTCTCATTACCAATGAGACAAAGGGCAGGAGGCTGGCTTTGCTCTTGGGAGCCTACTTCTCCCACTCAAGAGCTGCGTGCTAACACTGCCTGCCCCTCCCAGATCCTGGACACAGGGTTTCACACAATGCCCAAATTGGGTAACACCACTGTGTCAGAAAGGGTGGGAATGTAGGTTTCGGAACATATAAAAAGCACATAGAATGCATTTTTGAGGAGATAACTTTTTGGCCATGTATTTATTTACAGTAGCATACCTCAGTCCATGAACACTTCTGTTTGTAAACAAAAGCGTTTGACAAAATTTTGCTTGTTCCCAAACTCTGCACTGGATGACAACATGACTACGGCCATCTTCCCCAAAACTGTAAAAAAATTAAGTTCATAAACCGAGGCACAGCTGTATTTACTTTTGCAGGGGTGCAACCCAGGGCATGCTAGGTAAGTGCTCTGTCACTGAGCTATACTCTCAGCCCAGCAATTCCACTTTAAAACAATTTTTCCTCAAGCTATTATGATGTGAAAATACTATTTATGGTCCCAGGCATTAACTTTTAATTTATTTGGAAGTGGGAGGAGGGACAAAGACAGCATTGGCTATTTACTGAGATGTAATTCTAAAGCAATATACTGATTTTAAAAATTAATGTAGCAGGGGGCAGGGGGCCGGGGATGTAGCTCAGTGGTTTCGCCACCTGCTGCGCAAGCGCAAGGACCCGAGTTTGATCCCCGGTACCGAAAAAAAAAAAAAAAAATTAACATAGCAGAGAGGATTCCTCTAAGTGCATATGGTCCATCAAAAAGTCAGCTTGAGCAGTGATGGGCATTTATTCAAGAGTTCTGCTACTCGCTTACTCAAAATATTTTGGTATTGGGTCAGAGACAGTTATAAGCCACAGGAAAATTAAATTATAATCACACGCAGGGACCCCAAACCCAGTTACAGCATTCTTTTTTATGCATCTAACTTGGATCTTAAGGACTTTATGTTATTTCCAATATTAAATTTATTCTGAAAGGCTGATTTACTACCACTGGAATTATCCAAAAGAATGAGCTGTCACCCATGGGGCCCCCATGCAACTTTGCTCCCAGTTTTTACAACAGATGTAACTTCTGATGAATTATCAGTCCTTATAAATGAATATAAAGGGAATATTATTTTCTGTCTGTATAGGTGGATACATAAAAATCAAAGGACAAAAAGACTACAGAATGCCTTGTAGGTTGGTGTCCTGCAGCCTGGTATAACAAGCAGCACCATGGCCAGCAGGGGTAGGGCCAGCACTGAGTCTCAGTCCTCAGGCACCATGCTTCCATCTGTACAGGGGGGAAAGTGGGGAAGGTGGCAAGGGTGACACTGCATTGGACCACCTGTGGTTTCTGTTGCTGAGTCTGCCTTTGAACTCTGATCCTCTGGGCTCACCCAAGTAGCCTGGACGGTGATCACCAAACACAGCCAGGGCCCAAGGGAAGCAGGCTCTGGATGCCTCCTACGGCAGACTTCCGGGCCCTAGGGCAGCTGTACCACTTCGGCATGTACTGCTTTCAGTCACTCAGGTCACCAAACCTTCTGTGCTCCTCCCCTGGTCTCAACTCAGCGCTTGGCAGCCCTCTCCTCCCAGCACCAGGTCAGAAGTTGCCCGTCACAGGGGATGTGCCAGGGTTCCTGGCACTTGTTTACTCCCTTCCTCCGGGAACTGAGGGAAATAATGGTGCTGGTGAAGCCCAGGGCCTTCCTGTCCTACAGGGTCCTGTGAGGCCCTGGCTTCACTTTTTCAGCCACACAGGGGATAAAAGCTGAGCTCTGCTGAGACAGTTTTGCTAACACCGTGCCACTGTCTCATTAGTTCCAGGACCTGCCTGAAGACAAGTTAAGGGAACCAGCTAACACTAGATTCACTTAGCTTCTTAATAAACTACCAAACTGGTCCGGTGTGTGGAGCAGGCCTGGATTTCAGCAGTCTAGGAGGCTGAGGCAGGAAGATGGCAAGCTTGAGCCCAGTCTGGGCAATTTAGTGAGACCCTCTCAAAAGACCAAAACCAAGACCAAACCAAACCATCAAATTGGAAAGCTACCTGCAACTTTTGGTCTTTCAAAACGGTTGCCTCCTGGTTCATTTGCATTCAGGCAGTTCCTGCGGCAGTGGCCTTTACTGTCTCTGGCTGTTGTTTCACATTATACCCCTTTTCACAGAGGGACACAAAGCTTGCCCTGAGACACCCGCAAGGGTTCATTCTTCCCCTCTCCTTCTGTTATTTGCATTATAATGGTCAACAGATACTTTCACAAAACATTCCAGGCCACACAGAGCCAAGGCCTTCTCCAGGTTCCCTTTCTGGAGGGGGACGGGCAGGCCAAGGGGCTCCTGTGACCCCCAGGGTACGGGCTCCACAGAGCACAGATGCCAGGTGAAGACACCAGAAGCCAGAAGGGAGCTGCTAACACTCTGAAAACCTCCCCCAGTCCCTCCAGTAACAGAAGCAAAAATGCCAAGAATGGAGTGAGTCTATCTTGGCCCTGTTCTCTCTGCAGTGCAGCCAAACTCCTGGGGTTTGGTATTTAAAATACTTTCTATCTTTTCCTTATGCCAAATGAAAAACTGTGGCAAAGACTAGAAGAGTGAGTCCTAGTTGAAAGGTACCGAATGTTTATGACTTAAGCTGAGGACGGCTACACCACTGGTACACTGGGTACCAGGAGGCTGTGCCGGGAGGAGGCCACTGTGACCCTGGGGACAGCTGCCTGGCACCTACGTGAGCAGGATTACTGGCTTCTTCCCGACTAGCACCACTCCCCTACCTCTAACGCTGTCAAACTATGGATTTAAGTCACAGGAATATTCAATCTATGAAAAGTATCTTATTAGGGTAACAGAATTTCTTACAGAAGATAGCATATTTACACACATCTAACACATGAAAATACTCTATTTTATACTAAATTCCAGGTTCAAATGAACTACATTAGGGCGATCCGCCCTGGCTGCGAGTGAGGACCGTCACACTGGGCCCATAGGGCTGCCTGAGGACTCACACTGCCCAGACAAATCCACTGAGGGCCTGGCACAGGCAGGCCGCCCAGCCCTCCTCACACATCCACGCCTTTGATGAGTGAGCCCTCCAGGGCGATGCTGAAGTCCTGGATGGTCTGCAGGACCCGGATAAGCGAGTTGACAGTCATGCGGTCTCGCAGCAGTGCGCTCTCCTCGTACATGCGGGTGATGGCGGGGCACTCAGCCAGCAATGGGATCCACTGTGGGAGCAGGTGGTCCCTGCGGAGCAGACAGAGCTGGCTTGAGCACATGCACAGCTGCGGTCCCCTGGGCGGGTATGGCTGGCCATGCACATCCACTGTAAGTGGAAACCTGAGACAAGTCGGTCAGTCACTGGTAAAGAGAGAGTGCTGAGAGTGCTGGGCGAGCAGCACACCCCACCAGACTCTGAGAGGGTCTCAGAGAGGCCAGGACCTTACATAAACTCTCGAGAATGTGGGTACAGCTCAGCTGCAGGGCGCTTGCTTATTAGTATACCTGAAGCCCTGGCATGGGCTTTCCCAGCATGGAAAAAAGAGAAAAGAAAAGAAAATTCTGATCTTACCACCTTTACAAGAGGTAGAAGCCAGGTGTGGTGGTACACACCTGTGATCCCAGCACTCTGGAGGGCTGAGACAGGAGGATTGCAACTTAGTGAGACCTGGTGTCAAAATAAAAAAAGGGCTGAAGACGTAACCCAGTGCAAAAGCTGTGGCTTTACTCCCCTGTATGGAACGGGGTATGGAGGGCTGGGGTATGGCTCAGCATTAAGAGTTTGTGAGGGTCAGGGTTTGATCTCCAGCAACACAAATACAGTGGTACCTCAGTTCATGAACTTCATTCATTCCACAATTCTGGAAAAGATGGCCATGTTTGTGTTCCTATGGGAAAGATGGCTACAGTCGTGTTTGTCACCTAGCTCAGAGTTCGTGTATGGAAGCAAAATTTTGCTGAATGCTTCTCTTTGTGAAGCAAATTGTTTGCAAACAAATGTGTTCGTGAACCAAAGTACTACTGTACATAAACTATAATAAAAAATAAAGGGGTAGGAAATAGTCTGAAAGACAAGATGGCATTTATACAAGGGCCCCATCATGTTATTAAATCTAAAGTGATATGGCAGTGAGAATCCACTGCACAAGGTCTCCACAGTACACGTACATGTGTGCCAGCACATGTGCCCAATCAGCTCTACCTAGTATCCACCTACCTTTGGAGACTCCAGTGGGGACTCTCCAGTCTCCAGTGGGGATGGGAGTAGATCCTGGCTTTTGCTTTCTCACTGTGTCTTGGGAGAGTCTGCTAACCTAGCTACACCTCGTCTATTGTCTGGCTGCCCAGGCTGGGCTAAAACTCGAAGTCCTCTGACCTCTGGCTCTCAGTGCTGGAATCCCAGGCATGCGCCCTGCAGCTGAGCTATACCCACATTCTAGAGAGTTTATGTAGGTCCTGGCCCCTCTGATGTACTTTCAGAGTCTGGTGGGGTGTCCTGCTAGCCTAGCACTCTTTGCTCTCTTTGCCAGGAAATGGGATGCTACATGTAGTGGTAGTCGTGAAGTGACAGGAGGGTGCCAGAAAACAGTAGTTTTGTAATAAAAGTTGGAATGAAAGGAAGACAAGGGCAAGCTTTGTTATAATCTTTTCTGACTGGTGCTTAACAAGTATCAAAGGAGGAAAGTAAAAAATTGGCTTTATACCGTGTTCCAAGACAAACTAAAATCTGGAATTTGCCATCCTTCCCAATGTTCCTGGGTGCTGTATTGATAGCATTCACATAGTGGCAGAAGGTTTTGTAGGATGATTTCTGAATAAGGACTTCGTCTTCACTGTCTAGAATCTGTTCGGTGGTTTCAAAATAAGCAACTGCTTTCTCTGGGGGAGGAAAACAGAATCACATCACAATACACGCCAGCACTTCCTTCACAAGAAGCCCCAGCATCTAGTTTATCCTGCAAACACTAGTGAGCCCTCAGGGCAGCCAGTCCTGACATCAAACTCACAACTCCATCACTGGTTTAGAGTGAGTTCTCTGGTCCAGGTCCATGCTGGAACAATATGCTGCCAGGAATTCTTTTCCAATCAAGGCTTAATTCCAGAAGGCTGGAAGGTTTACTGCTATTTTTTTTGCTGTTGTCACTGAGGACTGAACCCAGGGACTTTACACCGAGCTACATGCACAGCCCACAGCACCTCCCTGCTTCTAAACTTTGACACAGGGTAAGTCGCAAGTTGTCCAGATTGGGCTAAAACTTGTAATCCTCCTGCCTCAGCCTCCCAGAGTGCGGGGATTACAGTTGTGCACCACCACATTTGGCTCTAATGTACCATACAAATTACATATTCGTTTGTTTTTTTCTTTTGGTACCGGGGATTGAACTCGGGTCCTTGTGCTTGAGAGGGAGGTGGCAGAACCACTGAACTAAATTCCCGGCCCCATATTTGCTAAGATTTTGTGAACTACTGGTTCTCCCACCCCACAAAGTATAAGTCTGCCAACTATATGTGTTTCTGCTACATCTAAAGATCTAAAGTGGTGTCTGGAATGCTGTATGCAATATAAACATCTGTTGAATGAATGCAAAGCAAAGATAGTGTGGATCTGATGTTTATTCATTTATTTATTTAGTTTGCAGTACTGGGGATCAAACTCAGGACCTTTTGCTTTTGAGGCAGGCATGGTGCCACTGAGCTAAATCCCCTGCCCTTGATGTTTATTTTTAAAGCCTCTCCCCTCATCACTAGCCTGTTTTCTCCAGGTTCCTGGGCCCTGTGTTCTCTGAGAAGCCCTTCAAGGGCCTGGTGGCAGTACATGTCCGCCCAACTCACCCACGAAGTCCCAAATGAAGACGTTTTTATGAAAGATGCGGGCCGACTTGAAGCCATGGTGGAAAACTTGCTCGAGGGCTGCAACCAGGCCATTTTCTCCGCAGAGCAGCAGGGTGAGGCTCCCCCTCTGTGAAGTGTAATACACTGTGCAAAGGGAAGGCCTTGGGCTCCTCACTAAGGCACACCCTAGAGCAACCCCACTCAGGGGACCCAAGGGCAGCTCCAAGGGGCCTGCAGTTTGCTCTGAGGTCCTCAGCTCTACAACCCCAATACCTCTTTCTCAGGCTTGTGAAAATGCTTCACGATGTTGTTCACGGCTTCTCCGATCCCCTCCTGGATCTGTCCAGCATTAGGCCCTATAAAATAAGGAGCAGTGGCTGTGCTGTCCCACGGGAAACACACCCTGCCCAGGAGGTGTCAGTCGAGTCTCTGAGGAGCCCCTCCCAGGGCAGGATGGCTCTCCGGCCGCAGCCAGAGTCCTGCAGCCACAAACAGGGAAGGGAAAATGGGCAAGAGTGGGTGCTGTCACAGCTCCGGAGCAAAGATGCCCCTACCCTACTCACAGCCCAAGTGTTGGGCAGAGGCCAAGGCTGGAGGTTGGTGCGCCAGCCTGGAGGGTGCTGCTTTCCAGGGAGGGGTCCTTCCTCCCCAGCCAGCCTGCTGGTGCCTGCTTCCACTCGCTCATTGAGGCTGCACCAAGAATGGTTAAAAAACATGAAGTAGTACAGATTCCATCCAGGGTCACAAGTGGAAAAAAGAGAAAAATTATTATTTATTTTACATTTTTTTTTTGCAGTAGAGTACTGGGGTTCACACAGGTAAATTCTCCAGTGCTGAGTTACAGTCCCTAGCCATTTTAAAATTTTTATTTTGAAAAAGCATCTCACTAAACTGTCCAGGCTGGCCTCAAACTTTGAATCCTCCTGCCTGAGCTTCCTAAGTAGCTGGGATCACAGGCATGTACCACCATTACCAGCTACAATGATGTATTTTGGTGTTTCCTGGTAGTGGTAAACTATTACATCTGATTTACTTAGCATAGCATAAAGGAAAAAAGTATATGTGGTACTGTCTGGGAATCTCTGAATTCAACTGCTGGAGAATTTCTTTGATAAACAGTCCCTTAGGTAAAATAGAAGTAAATTATTTCTACACCACGGCATAAAAACTGTTAAAATGCAAATGTCTTATGACTGAATATTGATACTATAGCCCCTTCGGTGCCTAGTAGGTTCTTTACCCAGCAGCTTTGTCTTTCTCTTCTCTTTTCAATATTAAGTTTATTTTGAAAACTTACAGATATTACTCATTTAAGAACTACCCATTTAACAACTGTTCAGACTTATGACCTGCGTTTGGGCTCATGACACAAGAATGTGATCAGCACTGCGACTTATGGTGGGTGCTTCTACAGTACTGCACTGTCATTTCTGTGACTGTACTGTACAGTTCAGTACAGTAGTTTTATGTTCTGTTATACATTACAGTACTGCATGTAAGAGTTATGCAAACAAGAGCCAGGTCATCATGTTGGAGTTTCCTTTGACTATTTCTTTATACTGAATATTGTACACACTTAGCAACCAATTCACTTAATGACCTGGTCCAGGGAACTGAACTTGGTTGCTAAATGAGGAATGTATTTGTTCCAAAAACTCTTTCAATTATCTCCCAGCACATGCTGTGAGAAAACACCCAGTTAGGCATCTCTGATTCTTGGGTTAAAATTTTCTGCTTATTGAGCAAGGAAAGAAAACTGTATCAAAAATGGGGGGATAATGGTCTCTCAAAAACAGCCCCACTTCCCTGAAACTGGACTAACTCAGAATATGCAATAATCTGAATGGTTAGTGGTGAAGTCTAATTTTAATGAATTAAAAAAATTGTTTGGATCTTGGGATAAAATCCAGGGTTCTGTGCATGATAAACACATGCTCTACCACTGAGCTACAGATACTTCTCCCTCATGCCCCCTTTTAAAATTTCTTTCCTTCCTTCCTTTCCGAACTGGGGACTGAACCCAGGACCTTCACACTATGCTACATCCCTAGATCTTTTTGTATTTTATTTTATTTCTTTTCTTTCTTTTTATTTTTTTTTGGTACTGGGGATCAAACTCGGGACCTTGCGCTTACGAGGCAGGTGGCGGCACCACTGAGCTAAATCCCTGGGCCTTTCTGTATTTTATTCTGAGACAGCGTCTCACTATGTCATCAAGTTGCCCTGGCTGAGCTCGAACTTGCTGGCCTCCTGCTTCAGCCTCCCTAGTAGCTGGGATCACGGGTGTGTGCCACCATGCCTGGCATTCTTCTGTTTCCGTCCCCTCACTACACTCACAAACACAGCTGTGTTCTGTGAACTGACCATATGAAGCCTGCAGTGTGTGAGCTGACCTGGGAAACAGGAAAAGCAGCTACTCACTGGCAGTCTTCCCAGTCAGTGAGGTGATGCTCAGCCTCCGGGCCATGGTGGGTGACTTCTGCTGGGGCGGGGTCCGACACTGCTTCCCAAGGTCCTCCTCCACTGCCGGTGCCATCAGTTCCCCAATGAGAATCCTCTCCAGGCTCCCATCGTCCACACCTTTCCCCAGCCAGCGCCCACATGGGAACCTGGCAGGGAGGAGAGCAAATGCCTCTGTCACAGTTACTCTGCACTGGCTTTAGTCAGTGGGTTAGAAAGGCCACCCATACACATACACATACACACACAAAACAGACAAAAAAGAAATGCCAATCCTTCACTTTCACTCCTGTGAACTGCTTATTTAACAATGAACACTTCAAATAATGTATTTTTAAAATAGTCTATTATTAAAACTCTGGCTAGTTGTAGAAAGAATATTTTCAAAGTAGAAATTAAGGTGGGAGTTAAGGCATAGGAGAAGAGAGGAGGCTGTCCCTGTAGGGCAGTGTTCAGTGTAACCAATACATCTTTTACTCTTAGCAAAAGTATTTGAAGTTGGGTGCCATGAGGGATGCCTGTAATCCCAGCACTCTAGGAGGCTGAGGTAGGAGGGCCGCAAATTTGAACCCAGCATGGGCAACTTAGAGAGACACTGCCTCAAAATAGATTTAAAAAGGCTGGGGATGAAACTCAGTGTGAAGGCCCTAGGTTCAATTCCTAGCAGTGAAAAAGGAATATTTTAAGCTTTAATTTCCCATAGTTATAGCAACCTTTTTCAACACTTGTGGACCAAGCATTAGTCGCAAATACATTTTGATGTTTTGGTGGTGGTATTGGGGATTGAAGCTAGGGCCTTCTTCACTCTGAGCAACATCCCAGTCCTTTTTAAATTTTAAGACAGGGTCTTGCTAAGTTTCCAAGTTGCCCAGGCTGGGTTCGAACTCGATTCTCCTGTTTTGGCCTCCTGGAGTGGTGAGATTACAGGCACATATTGGCATGCCTGGCTTTTTTAGAAAGTATTTTTGGAGACTATTTACATTATATAAACAAAACAAAAATCCAAAGAGACTAAACTAAATTCAGAAGCCAGTGGAAAAACTTTAGAAAGAAATCCTTATCAAAGAACTCTGGGCTCCTGAGGCCACCTACTCACCTGTATGTGTGTCCTGTGATCTCATTTCTGACCATGACGCAGTCCACTAGCCACTTGGTTAGCAGCCCTGAGTTGTCGTGCCCGATCTGGACAGTGGTGAGCTTCCCCAGGTTCTGGCACTGTGGGCAGGAGCACAGGTTACTCAGCACCAGACCCACCCACCTTCTCAGCTTTCCTGGGCACTTCCCTTCTCCCTGCAACTATAGAGATGCGCTGAGCCACACACCAGGGAAACAGACCCCTGAGTTCCTGGCTTTCGGGGAGTCCTCATACAAGGGGACAGGAGACTTACAACATGGATTGCAAAAGGAGGGGCTGGGCTGAAAGATGAGTGAGAGCTAGAGCATCACCAGGGAAGGACAGTGTTGGTGTCTGGGCACCCAGAGCCCTTACCAAGACGGTGGCTGTGTGAGCCTTGAAGGATGGGAAGGATGTCCAGAGGTGTAAGAGGGCACTGTCTAGATAGGCTCACAGAGGTCAGCAAAACCCTGACACTAACTAAAAATCATCAACGCAGCCCAGTGTGGTGATACACGCCTGTACTTCCAGGGATCAGGGCCGGAGGCAGGAGGATCGCTGTGCATTCAAGGCCAGCCAGGGCTACATTGTGAGTTCAAGGCCAGGCTGAACTGTACAGCAAGACCTTGCCTTAAAAAAAAAAAAAATCACCAACATTAAAGTTTTTCTGTTTTTTCCTTGGTACTGGGGATCAAACTCAGGACCTTGCACTTGCCACGTACACACAGTGCCACTGAGCTATATCCCTGGTCCTAGTTTTCCTATTTTTAAAAAAATTTAATACTTTCTCTACTTTCCCTTTCCCTAACTCTAGATCTACTTTTATCTGCAAAAAATCTATCTTTCTATTTCCTATTATCTATCTTTTATTTTGCTCTTTAAATTATTTATACTTTAGGTTTCTTATGTAAGAGAATATGATTTTTAAGCTTGTGTGTCTGATTTATTTCACTTAACATTATGGTCCCCAGTGCATCCATTTTCATAAAAATGAGTCCAATTTATCCTTCTTTATGGTGGAGTAGTGCTCTGTTGTGTATACATTTTCTTTATCCTGTATTTTTCTATTTTTAGTCAGGGGCTGGGGACCCAGCTCAGTAGTGGGGCACTGGCCTAGTATGTGCAAGACCCTGGGTTTGATCCCCAGTAGAATGAAAAAACAAAATAAAACAAAACCAAGAAACCCTCCCAAAATTTCATTTAACTTATTTGAACTATGGCTGACTACAGCTAATTGAAACTGCATAAAGTGAAATTACAAATGAAGGGGGACTGCTATAATTACTGCTGTCCTAGTAGCCCCTTGTGCATAAGAATGAAATAAAGCAGTGGTAAGAGGAACTGCAGACATGAATCCCAGTAACACTGACTTAGAATCTGATGAAGAGGAGCTCGTACCCGCTACCTGACTTGCTGGATGGAAGCCCTAAAGCTGTGAGTTCTAAAAGCATGTGGCTTCTTTGATGCTTGGCTGTTTTGTTCTGTTTCAGTACTAGGGACTCAGGGTCTCTGCACTGAGCTGCATCTCCAACCTTTTTTGAGACACAGTCTTGATAAGCCACTAAGTTTTCGGGGCTGGGGTTGAACTCATGAGCCTCCTGCCTCAGCCTCCCTAATACTGGGATTACAGGCAGGTGCCATGAGCCTGGCGAATATGGCTTCTTCACAAGACACCATGGTGACCCAGGTGAAAAAAGACTGCAACCTGATTTACTAAGGCAGCAGAGATGGAAATAGGCTGATGTGTGAGGGTTTGGACATAGCAAGAGAGGGCTTATGAGCTTGTTTAGATTCCATAATTGGTAGACAAAGAAAATCTAAGGTCTTATTCTTTTATGTACAGATAGTTGTGAGCCCACTACATATCACATAGGAGGCCAAAGAACTACTGGCCTCTGACTCCTAGACCCCAAAGAACATAAGAACAGGACATTCAGTTAGGACCACTTCCCTCTTAAATTCTTCCTGTATGCCATGATCAAACTCAATATGGGCTGAAAAACATGAAAATAATCTACCAGGTGAGACCTGGAGCCCAACTGTCATACAACAGGCATCTTTACAAAGTCTGTGAACGTCACCAAGTGGTGCAGAGGTGTGATGAGGATGACACTGGGTGTCTAGTCTTTCGCCAAAGGCCACACAGATGCAAGCAGGGAGGAGAGCAGCTGTGGGGAGACTGGTGCTCTTTGCACCCTGTGGGGCAAGCTGGGGTTGGGCACTGGGAGTCACGAACTACAGCAGCCCACACCCAGGTCAGTGGGAAAAAGAGCTGAACAATGAATGTGAGAACCACGACAACATGCAACATGTGAGCGTAAGCTGCTGTAGACAACAAGATGTACGTACTCAAAACCACGATCCTGCACTGGATAAAATGGGAAATGAGAAGGCCAAACTGGACCCTGAGAATTCAGCAACACTCTCTGCTAGGACAGACCCTCGTGCACCCACCTCGAAAGCCATCTCGAGGAGGTTCTTGGGGATTTGCATCACCCCTGTGTCTCCCAGCTCTCCTGATACACAGATCCAAGGGTTTGAGGTGATGATTGCATTGCTCAGCTTTTTAATCGGGATGATCACCGACCTGTATGGGATCACTGCCAGAAAAACATGGAAATTAATGAAAAATTACAATTTTGTACTTACAATCCTCTTGCCTCTACCTCCCGAATGCCAGGATTACAGATGTACACCAGAATGACCAGCATGATCTATCTTTTAAGACATACTTACATTGTACAAAGAAATGAGATTGTAACCTCTTCCAGGCTATCCTTTGAGTTCTTTTTTTTTTTTTTTTTTTAATCCTTTTATTGGCACATTTTAGGTGTACAATATAATGGCATTCATCATTGGAGATATGCACCTTTTATTTCCCTTCCCTCCTTCCCTCTAACTC